ATTTAAAGACAATGATAATAATAGAGATATTAATATTTTAACTCACTGTTTTATGGATACGTTCCTCCACTGTGAATCATGTATGTTGTCTGTCAAAAATGGTCATTTTTACAATAAAAGGATAATATAACTTGCCAAACATCAGTCTTTTTGTTGTTATACTACACATGCTGGTTTTCACGGTGTGGTCAATTGTAAAAATTAAAGGGTCCCTATTATTATTTTTGGGGTTTTCCCTCTCCTGTAGAATGTTAGGTTTTTGTGCATGTAAATGGTCTGAAAGTTCCCTCCAGAGGGAGTTTCTGTCCCCCCTGCCTGAAACACCTCCATTGGACTCCTTTGTTTACTTCTGTAACAAAGTGACATCACTACCGCTTCTGTTGGCTAGCGCTCCAACATTTGTACGTGATAGGCTAAGGAGTAGAACATCTCTGAGCAGCCAGCTAACCAATCAGAGCAGACTGGGCTCTGGTTTCAGACACAGGGTGAAAAGAGTTGCTGCAGCACAGGAAGTATGAGAAAAATAAAGACCTTTTTGAACATTAGCCAAATAAAATACAATTATGAAACCTGAACATTTGCATAATAGGGCCCCTTTAACACTGTTTTATTCTCTGGCTGTCCACTTTATAGGTTAATTGTTGGGTCAATTAAATGTGTTCAACCTTTTTTCTTTTAATAATCAACCATCCATTTACAATATAATATCACAAAAGACGAAAAAGCAGCAAATCATCACAATTTAGAGGTTGAAAAGGGGATTTAAAAAAAACTTTTGCTTGAGAGAGAGTTGATTGCTCAATTCATCAAGTGAATAATACCGTTACAGTCCAATCATTTTTGACTGGAGTCTTAATACAGCAGGATGTTTGCAAGCGTCCTCCTGCTGAGCAGAGCGGCATGCAGAGAAAACACTGAGTTGTTTAATAATGTTTGAACATGGAGTCTCTGTGCAGTTTGTCACACATTGATGTTAAAAACCCACAGGGGAACATTCTCGCTGTATTACTGTATCCCTCTGTGACTCTGCGTTCCTCTGCTGCCTGTATCCACCCGTCTCTTTTATTACCGGCTCTTGTCATTTACCAATGACTTCCTATTAGCTGCCTTCTTCTCTTGAAACATACTAAAACAAATTCTGAACATTTCTTGAACATATCACAAAGAAATCGGCGTATATGGCGAGAAGAGGACACTTGTCTGAAACATAACATTAAAGGCTGATGGCAGGGGTAAAGGTCAAAGGTCAAAGTTACACCTTTATACGACAAAGTCAGTCACTTTCCCATAAAAAACGTATGTCAAACAATGAACAATAGGCCATGCTATTTGAGATCTACAAGCTGACCTTGCAAAAATTTAATTAGACACCAAAGTTCAAACCACATGTTTAGGAGTTTATTGGGAGAACACGTATACAGTACACATTTCATCCTGACATCACACACATCAGGCTGTTTGAGATGAAGAAGAAACAGACATGGAGAAATATTAGCATCATGTGAATGACAGAAACGCACTTTACTTACTATCAAATTTGTGATTTTTGCATCACAACTCTCCATCTTCTTGATGACCACTATTAGTCTAATTGAACATATGCAAAATGTGTGACCAGACAGTTCATTGCTAAATAATCTACAGTCCATGATATTGCGAGGACAACACTTGTGTTTTAACAGCTTTATCTAGGTGAGATAAAGGGCAGTAAAGTATGGACATTTATATTGGAGTTTACTAGTAGTAGTAATCCACCGATGACAATTCAAAAATGTCTACCATCATCTACAACTATTTCACTACCCAGGGGCATGTATTACATCATTTTTTAAAAGTACTTTAAAATCATGATGCACTTGAAAAAATCTAATAAAAGTTTGACTGTAGCAAAGAAAACGACATACGTTGTAATGTCTAAAGTCAACTGTGCTTGACTGTCTTTTTGAAGAAATGACAAACTGAAGTAGTGTTTAGAAGGTTATTTTAGTAGGGATTCATATTTACAGAAACATAAAGACAGTAGGTAATTTATTCCCCTTGCCATCGCAACATTAGGACATTACTAAATCGATTCAGATACCAAAATACAGAAATTTAAAAAAGTAAGAAATATTTGTTATGAAATCAACAATAGTGGGTATTCACTTCCTCAAACAAACAAATCCTTATTTTATAACTAAACATGTTACTAAATAATACCATTTTAAAACAGCTTTTTAGAAATCAGGTGAGACAATGGTGGAACATTGATGATTATTCATGACTGATGACACCAAGAAGTGCTTTGTCACCTAGGTTTGACATTTATTACAAGTAAAGCATCTCCTATTTAAGGTATTGCCAAGTAATTATTTGTGTAGTCTTTATACATCACCGAAATACAAACTCTAATATCTAAGTTCAAACCCTCCTAATGCTATTTAAAGGTGGGGTAGGTAAGTTTGAGAAACCGGCTCGAGATACACTTTTTGTAATATTCCATGGAATGCTCTTAACATCCTGATAGCAATGAATATCTTAAGTGCTTTGACAAAAAATCCATAAAAAAATGTCATCTGTGGAAGCCGTAGTACTGTAAAAAGCACGACCAATCATTTTAGCCGGGCCGGCTAAAATAACTGGATGGCCTACCTGCCTGTCAGCCTTCCATCTGTGCACAAACTTATCTCGTGCCCTCATTGGTCATGTGCGCATTCGTGCGTGTTGGAGGAGGGGCTCTGTAAGGAAGTGGCAGATTTTTTCCGGCTGTGTATTTTCAAATTCTAGCGCACTCGAGCTGGTTTCTCCAAAATTACCTACCCCACCTTTAATGTATTTACATTTGCAACTTTTTATCAGCTATCCTATTTTTACATTTTACCTTTGCTCTTAAGTGTTTGGCACAGTACGAAGACAGCGAGAAAGAATATCACTGATGATGCAGCTATAGTACACTGTGAAAGTCTGAACTACGACTGGAGAGTTAACCACATGTATAAACATTGTGAAATTCTAACCAAACTAAATTTGCTAACAGCGCACATTTTCTGATGTCCCAAACATTTTAAATAAAACAGCGGTTATTAAAAGTCCAGTCGAGAAAACCCTCTTAAACCTTTCATTCTGGTTTTTTATCTTGACAAACATAACAGAGCACGAGTATGAAAGTAAATTACATTGATGTAATTCAAAATATTGAATACCATATGAAAGATATTACATGCGCCTGTTATTAACCCATATTAATCCAAAGTCAGGCCAACCTACATATACTCAACAAATGTACACATTTTCACAAAACCATCAGAAAGTGTAGGCTACTAACCTTAAAAGGAACAGTGAGTTCATGTGCATGAAATGATATGCACATGAAGCCAAAAATGGAGCAAGGGTAAATTCAAAAAGTAGCCGCATTGTCCTGGCACTTAGGCCCATAGAGCATGCGCACTTGAGTTTCCCCCTAAGCCCCGCCTCTTTACTCTGCTATCCGCTCAGTCAAATGAATGGAAAGAGAAAATAACACTGGATCGGATTTAGCACATTTTACTACTTTTAGACCCTCATGATCTATATAAGGGCCCTGAAAGTATACTCTGTAGTACTGGGTAGTTTATTTAGCTAAAATAAAAGGTTCAGTCATTTACAGATGTCTCTTTTCCAATGTGAAAATCAATGAGAAAAAGTCTATTGCAGCCAAATTGACGTCACAGAATATACAGCAGTGTAGTACCACTGTTCAGCCACTGCGAACATTTGCTTTAACGGCCGGCGCACTTCCTGGGGGCTTGTTCCCTCCGAGATAGGGAGCCGTACCTCTACAACGCAATCTGCCAAGTTGCACCATCATGTTTCTACAGTAGCCTAGAAGGGACAAACCAAATTCCAGCTCTAGAGAGTGCCTTTCACTTTAAGTTCTCCAACTTTCTTGGAAATGGGAAGGGTGAACAGAGGGATATTTAGTTGCAATCTTCAACCTCAGCATTAGATGGCACTAAATCCTATACACTTGTTCTTAAAGAAAATGAAATGTTACCATGGAGGCACCATGATGTTTTATCTCTGTTTTGCCGTCAGCAAACACGACGTACCGCTGATTGGCAGATTGCACGCACCTGAGACACACACATACAGGCACAAACAGGCACACACACACACACACACACACACACACACACACACACACACACACACACACACACACACACACACACACACACACACACACACACACACACACACACCATGGGGATAACTCTGAAGTCTGGATGGCCTGCTGCTGTTCATCCTTCAGCAGCCCCTCGTCAAAACCAACAGAGGCAGGAAGATCTTAAAATGTTTCACCTGCCATCCTTCTTTCTCACACCTTTCCCTCCATACCGCTCACTCGAACCTCTCATATTTTTAACTATCATCCTCCTTTTTGTTCTTACTGATAACAAAATAACCTTGTCTACATTTGGGACAACCTGCCCAAGTCTTCAGCACTCTTGCCGTTGAATAACAAGTGGAATAAAGTTGTTATTTTTTCCAACACAGTTCTCAGGCAATCAGAGAGAGATTGGGATTTGGAAAAATCAGGAAACACACAACTGAATAAGCAATAAACATCAATGAAGTCAACACAAATTGAACACAGAGAATCTTTAACCACAATGTCCAAGAGGCTGAAGTCTCAGTTCATATATTCAGGCGGGCAGGCATGCCTTCTTGTGGTTTTCCTACATGGTTATTCCCTTATAATATCCTTTTTCAGTTCCTGGAGTTGAGTCCAGCCCCTCTCCACTTATCCAGCTAGATGTCAGAGCTTTGGAAATATTGGGTAGGTACATCATAGATAGGTAAAAATCCTTAAAAACGATCTTGTTTCACTGTGTTAAACATCAGTTCTTACTGCTTTGCTCAATTTTATTTTCACCACATTTTGCTCTTCAAAACAGGGCCCATCTCTTCATACCTATCCAAAATCTTCAGTTATTGATGAGTTTCTAGCAAGATGAAGGGCTGTGGTTCCCTCTCAAATTTCTCTGAATTTTCCCCTCCCTCCCAAATGTCTCTGCCCTCCATCATTGGTCGCCCTTACACTTTTTGCTGCATCTCTATCTGTTGGCCCTGTCTGCTCTGACTCTGGCCCTTCCCGTTCATCTTGTACATTGAGCTCTTCTTCTGTTTGTGGCAGTAGCACCACACCCCAACGATCACCGCCGTGGCGATAGCGCACACCGCCACGATTATGGCGGCAACAGTGGGACCTTGGCTGGAGGAGCTCGGAGGGCAGTTCTCACCGGTACAGATTGCCTCCCCCAACTCTCCCTCCACCTCACCCCTCTCGCCGGTCTCCCCTGGAAGGATGTGTACAGTGTGCTCTTCTGTAACTCCGCTGTCGGTGTCCTGCATCGGGGGAACTGGGCCATGATCCAGGAAGGGGTGCTGAGAGAGGTCGTCCTGCCAGGAGTGGGTGGGAGCTGCCTGTTGGGTGTCGTAGTCCAAGGTGTCGGAGTGTGAGGGGGAGTCGGAGGGCTGTGAGGGAGCAGCGGTGGGGATGAAGCCCGGCAACATTTCCTCCGCTCCCCCCTGAGCTAAAGCAGGTTCTGTTGTGGAAGACGCAAGTACTTCTGGTAGGCTGGTGTAAGGGACGGGTCTACCAACTTCCACCTCATTAGGTCTGTCAGTTGTCCTCACAACTGTCCCCCTCGCTGTATCCTCTGGTCTAACCCTTTCTGTTGTGGAGTCCCCTTTCTCTGTTTCCTCCAGGACGACAGGGTAGCCGTCCAGCCAGGTGTCGTCTGTGGGGGCTTCTTCTTCTGCTGTAACATTCTGTTTTATATCCGTCTCTTGGGAAAAGATCACACGCTGGTGACTGTCATTGTCATCTTCGTAGCTCTCATGGTCATCGTGGTTATGGTCATCATGTTCATGGTCATTGTGGTCGTGGACATCGTGTTCATGGTCGTCGGGTTCATGGTCATCGTGGTTATCGGGGTCATCGTGGTCATCGTGGACATCGTGGACATCGAGGTCATCGTGGTCATCGTGGACATCGTGGTCATCGTGGTCATCGTGGTCATCGTGGACATCGTGGTCATCGTGGTCATCGTGGTCAGTGTTACGATCAATATCTTCCTCCTCAGGATCATAAGGCTCCTCACGGTCATCACTGTCATCGGGGTCAGGATGTTCTTTAGATTCGTCAGGACGTTCTCGATCAATGTCTTCTCGATCGTCAGTCACATCTTCATGCTCTTCGTAGCTTTCATGTTCATCGTAAGTATCGTCGTACTCTTGACCTCCGTAGCGAACACGATCCCGGTCGTCTTCGTGTTCACCCATGTCATAATGGTCGTCATGATCGTCTGTATCTTTGTGCCGGTCCCGCCTGTCCTGGTCATCAACTTTAGCTGGAATATAATGCTTCACATGATCATCTCCGTCGTCTTCCTCCTGGTGACTCTGTTCACCGTCATCATGGTTGTCATGGTCGTCGTGACCTTGGTCGTCAACATCAACTGGACGCTGGTGGTGGTGCGTTTCTTGGCTGTCCTGCTCTTTGCTCTCCTCTGATTGGGCGCCTGAAGCTCTCTGTGTGGTCTGTGTGACTGGATTGGTGGAGGCGGGACGTCCCTCATCCTGGAAGGCCTCAGAGGGGAACCAGAAGAGGTGTTTCTGGGAGAGAAGAGACACAGGTGCTTCTGTAGCTTTCTCCCCTCCTGCTACCACAAATGTTGTATCGATGACCTCCTCTTCCACTTCAGGCACTCCATGTTGGTCTTGATGCTCCTCCTCTACTTCGACATTGAAGCTCGTCTCTTGTTGAACCTGACGCCTTTCCCCTTGTGGGTATTCAGCTCCGTGCACCTCCCCGTACACCTGACCCTGAGCCTCCTCTGGCCTCTCGCTATGGTGCTCTGCCTCTCCATAGGAATCTGGAAACTTGTCCTCGTAGTCTACGTGACTTTCAGTCTCATCTGCAGAAACACAATGAAACACTTGATCAGGTGATGAGTCTACATCAAATATAATGTTTATTTGTTTAATCTCAAGGAGAATAAAAGACTCCTTGAGATAAAAAAAAATCTCTTAGGTTGCATTTGTCAAGACGGACAGCAGCCAAAATAAGACACATTATTTAGCTTTTTGTATTATTGTAAGTGTTTACTACAGTCACTCTCTTAGTATACTAGCCTTTTTATATTTATCTTTTTCATAAAAATATCTTATCTTGTTAAACCTGCAATTTCATGTCAATCTGTCACGGTGGTATTGCAATTTGTATTAAATATAATCTTTTTCAAGGGATTGTGACGAAGTAAAACATTCGATCACCGTGACACTATTTTAGGACTGTTTAGGAACTCCTGCTGTAGCGCACAAACATGACAACGACGCTGTGAGCTAACTGTGGACACAAGCCTGGCCTTTTGCTTTCATGGACAACTCTTGCCCTCTTCTTCTTCTTCCTCTGAACCGGTCCACACGATGGCATGTCACACTGAGGTGTCATCGCAGCCATTTCCAACTCACAACTGAGAATCTATTTTCCAAGAAAAGCTCAGAGTCACCGCCCGATCACCTCACAACACTGGGAGCTAACAAGCAAGAAGTGAGAAGGTAGACCTCAGAGTGCTCTCCTGTACGTCTCGGTCAAAGCTCAAAGCTTTGAAGAAGACGAACAAAAGGGGGGCTTTCTGTTTTCTGCCTCTTTCTATTTCTTTCCCGCTCCTGCAAGATAAACTGTTTAAACACCTTCTTACCTTTGACACAAATCTCCACTAATCCGTACCACTCTCCACAGCTGTCGCACAGTAGACTGAACGCACTGCGTCCACTGGGCATGACATGACCGGGCAAACATGTGTACAGCAGCTCGTCTCCCATCTCATACCCAGAGTGCTCCTGGAGATGAGCGTTAGGAAAGGATGGAGGGTCACCACACGGCACATCTGTCAACAACAAAAACAAATCAACACACAAAAAGTCCATATTCAGGATTAAACAGCACGGTTAATGAAACATGACTCATGGTAATTATTATCCAGTTTTACAGCATGACTATCCAATTTGTAAACAGAAAGAGATTAGAATGACGCAAGGGGCGGTAAGCAAGAGCTTTGTGGTAAATGTGGATGTAATTTTGACAAACAAAACCACAAACAATGCCACTGGGAAGAGATAAAGGCTGTGTATTGTCTTGACTCTGGTCTTATTATGTATGGTAATTATAAAAAGGCAACACAGTTAATCTGAAAAATATTAACATGTTCTTGACGTTTCTTTTCTTTTTGTTATTTCTGTTATTCTATTTCATGTTTTTCCAAATGTAAAATAATGCCCTGTTAAAAAAAAAAATCATTATTTATTATTATATTTAAAGCGCCCTAAAGTGGACATTTTAACATCTTCATTTTAGAATTGGGCTAATATATCACTTTATACTTCATAACTATAACGATATAAGCACAATGTTGCCTGTAAATCAGTGTTGATCTGTACTGTCCAAATTTCCTCACAGCAGAGTGTGTGTGTTGTGTATCAAACACACACACTCTGCTGTGAGGAAATAGTCTGATCCAAAACTAACGACTGACTGCCCCCCCCCCCCTCTTAAATCCAGGCCAGTGTGTGAAATGCTATGTCTGGCCTTACGTACATTCATGGATCAGGTAATACCTTCACACACATTCAGACACACAGATATTCACGAGGAGGCAGAAAGTTTGGTATTTGACAACAGATTTGAGTAGAAACATAGAACTGGCAAACACACACACACACACACACACACACACACACACACACACTGGCAGGATGGAGAGTGTTGAAAGTAGAAGATGGAAGGAACGCAGGAACACACACTCTTTCACACCTCAGTAAATATCTCAGGAAAGATCCACATACACACACGTACACACACACAAATATAAATGATGTGTGTGTATGTATGGTGTGTTTACTGACCCCTGTCTTTGATACAGAAGGCGTCCAGGTTTTCAGAGTCCTCGGTGGCGTTTTCTGTTCTCACATCCACTGCTTTCAGTGCACTGCCCACAACGTTACACACCGTCATCCTAGATAGATAGAGATAAAAACACTCATTAATTCCAATGTGATATGGGTGCATATAGCCGAACAGCCAAGCATTTAATTAAGGATGGAAGAATTTTTTAGATTAAGATTAACATCGCATTAAAAACACACAATAAGAGCAATACATTTTTAGACAGCGTTGCTGATCTGATTGGTCAATTACAGAATACACCAGTCTGTTATTTCCCTATAGCAGACAACTGCTAGATACAATTCTGATGGTAGACTCTGGAGGACCAGGTAAAGTAACAGAAAATCATTTTAAATCAATATTTTGTGTCAGATTGTTGATTTCTTTAGTAAGTTTTAAGTATTAGGCAGCATAATGTATCATAACTGTTTTATTTTTCTTTCATTAATCACTGAATGGCACTGACCCACAGGTTGGGAACCACTAGATTAAATACCTTTAGCAAAAAGTAGTTCAAACTAGCCTCCCCCTAAGCAACTACAACAGTTACATGCTGCTTACTGACAAATGTGCAGTATTATCAGTCGGATAATGTCATATATTATTATAACATTACACCACTGATAACATTTAAGTGAGATCTCTGCACACGGATCAGTATCACACGTAAAGCTGCAGCTTCGGTTTATATATTATACGGGTAATCTGACGACATGCGCAAACAGATATACGTGCTGCTCTTTGTTGCTTATTCAAATATTATTACAGAATGACATCAGTGTCCAGAAACACACATCATGGCTCAGACATGCTGCAGTATCAGCAGCTGTAGCCTCTGGCACAATATTATCACACTATGGTCATTAATAGATGTTCCCATGTAGGAGCCTTCAGTTACACCCAAATTCAAATAGCACAATCACAACATTAGCGACTTAATATAACACATTCACCAGACAAAATGAGTAATGCCTACAAAATGTAGTGGCAAAAAAACGTTTATGGCATCATTAGCCTATTTGTCATCCAAAAGCACCAGATAAGACTAGGGTTGCAAAATTCCGGGAATTTTCAAAGATGGAAACCTTCCATGGGAATAAATGGGAATTTATGGGAATAAACTGGGAATTTTCCAAATTGAAGGTTGGCTCTTCATAGGGAACTTAAATATAGTTGGGGAAAGTATATTTTAGCATAATCTTGACTAAAACAAACAGATGCCATTCAAGTACACTTGAATATCCATGCCATAGCACACTGCTTACTGCATGGCTATTGAGACCACACAAAGGTTCGCAACAGGCTCACAAATGTGAGAGTGGAAAAACTGGTTGGCAAGCACTGGAGACGCTGTAGTACATATGCCAAGCCTGTAAGTGGCGCTGTAGTCCTGCCACAAAAGCAGCGAAGAAGACTTCCTGCGCATGGTTGCCATGGTTGCCCTTCTGTTTATTCTCCGCTGTGGACGCTCTGGCTCTTTTTCTCCCTCCCCGAGGCAAGCGTCGTCCAAGGGACGAGGGGAACGTGCGGCAGAGTTTCAGGTAGATTTTCTTTCGCCGGTCAACATGTCCGTTAAAGTTGAAATCTTCCGGACAAAATTAGAAAAGTGCCGGTCAAAGGTCTTCTTTGTTATTTATTGAGCTTTAAAACAAATGAATAACGACTCTATATAATAATAAAAAACGGAGCCTCTCTTTTCCTCCCCCTCTTCTGACAGCCCAGCAGCTGATCTCTGAGCAGGAGAGGCGGGGCTATTGCGTCATCGTTATCAGGACATGATCGTATAGGCATAAACACGGAGCCGTTTGCCCCCCCAGAGCGTTTTGTTTGCAGATCTACCCACCTTGGGACCCGTTATCATTATCGTTTTCTGCGTTTCCATGTCGGCCTCGTGTGGCCGAACCGTCTATCTGATAGTGAACTGTAGCAGATACGACCGTTATCGTCCTTGTGTGGCCGGGGCTTTACTTTCCAGTCGGATCAAAATTAGTTCCCATATCACCGTCATGTGGAAAGTAAATTCAAAGTTCCGAAACATCATTAAAAGTTAGACTTATTACACTTTTCATATAATATTGCATGGTGATATTACTAATCAAGCATCATTAAAGGGATACTTGTGTGGGTTTGAGTGGGTGTTTGCAGTAATTAAGTTAATCAAAGCGTCAGTAATTGGAAAGAATTTGACTGGCAGAGCAGTGAGTTTGTGAGAAGTGGTGTGAGTCATGCTGCATGCTTGTGCCATGCTAACTTGAGCTTATAAGGACAAAAAACTGAGAGAGAAACGGGCAGCAAGACAGAAATCGCCAAGAAAACATTTAGAGAGAGACAAAAAACAGACTGTTTTAACATTAACTTGCTCCAGGCTTCTTTTTGTATGTGTATTATCATAGATAAAGGGGCCTTATTATGCTAATTTTCCGGTTTCAGATATGATGTTCAATAACGTCTTTGAAGAGAACGTTAGGATTTGAGCCTTTCCGGAACATTAACATGCTCAAAGACCTATATAACACATTACAGGAAAGTAAAAAACCCACAAAAAAAAGGGCCCCTTTAACAACAAAGGTCGCTTTGGATAAAAGTGTCAGCCAAATGCAATGTAGGGTAATTTAATGTATTTAAAGGGAAAACTCAGATATGTGTGTGTAGATGAGTCGGCTGGTATTTTGTGTTTGGTTGCCGGGAAGTAGATCTGTGATTGACAGGTAAGAGGAAGACGTTAAGGTAGGGGAGTCCATCTGAGAAGCATTTTGTATTATGCAATAGACCTAAACATTTCAAGGACTGCAGGTTTACTGGCACTAACACCACAGTGTTACTTGTGGAAGCCATAAGAGGCAAGTGAGAAAAAAAAGATCTTTATTCTCTGATGACTTAAGAATAGAGAATAGGGGAAAAAGGTTATGCAAGGATGATCTTTTAAGTGACGTTTTTTTCGTCTGTGAAAACATTTGAACTCTGTATTCAGCTTCAAAATAAAAAGGGTACATCCAAGGAGCTGATGAAATGTTATGAGCTCAAATATGTGCACCACCATGGTCTTGGCGCATGATTTCATCCAAAAAATAAAATTGAGATTTGGGGTGGGTCACAAGATCAAGACAGAGAGAGAAGAAGGTCTGGGTTAAAAGGATACCCTCGGCTTATAGACAGACACCAATAGATGGGTGATACACTGTGAAACATGGTAAGAGGGTGTGAAAGCTGATGTCCACTGGCCAACACCAAGAGAGCACGGAGTGTAACGGAAGAATAAATGTGTCAGCTTTTCCTCCGACAAGACATTCGTCATTCTTGGACCCAATTTGGATCAGGTTCAGTTTCATATCTTGTCCAAGTCTTTGCATTATAAGCCATTATTAGGTTGCAATACCTAATTCAGCCCATTTTCTGTTTCTTTAGGCACTTGAAGAGGCACTTTGAGTAGGCATGGGATGATACTATAGATATGAGTATCCTGTCCAAACTAATTTAAATACAACATCTTAGAAATTATAATCCTGGACACATTACATTTTAACAATTGCAAGCATTGATAAGTGAGACTAAGCTAAATATTGATGTGGGTCATTACAAAGCAATGACGTATTTGAGGAAGTGCACAAAACTGCAGGTCATCATTCAATGACCACATGAGGCTTGCTCTAAAAGGGAGTAAATCTCTATATACTGCCATGTTAAAAGCCCGACTTTACACAGAATTGTCATAAAGTATTGGTGTCAGAGTATAAGAGCTTATTTCCCTATTCATGAATATTTGGGTGATTTGTACCGTTAATATACTAAGGGTTCAGTAAAAGCATTATTTGGGCGTTGTCGCTTTGAGTGACAGGTGGGTGCCTTCTCAGGATGTTAGCCACTAGCTCTCTGTGTCCCCTTGGCCCGCCTCAACTCAACCAATGATGCCCATTTTTGTTTTATCCAGGAGTTAGACAATGGGGTAGGTACCAAGATGGCCTTCGCCTGAGCCACTCAGTTTGAGCTTCACAATGGCGGAAACAGAGACTTTACTTTTTACTCATGTTGTTCTTTCTCCTTTCGGTCATGTTGTTTTTTCTCCCTTATTTGGAAATGTGGTCCTAGAGAATGTGTTTAACAATCAATTGGGGGCTTAAAGTAGGTTAGTCCTCTGCCAATACATCGATTTTGAAGAATCCAAGGCAGTTTTTGAACACAACACAATCAACCCACCACCATCTTTGTAACGTCAGCACCATGTACCTGAAATCACCTGAAATCAACCCCACAGACCAATCATGAATCCTCTCATCGCCACAAGAGAACAGCATAAACATACTGTCAATCACCTCACTATAAACTAACAGTGTGTCTTCCTACTCCCGGCCTGTCTCTCTGCCTGTCTGTCTGCTTCTGTCTCTGGGTGCTGAAAGCTGTGTCTCATGTTACCGTGGAGATGAGAGGTGTAAATGGAGGCAGTTGTCGACATGACACCCCGGCTCAGAATTCCCTCCCTCACCAGGAAGGAACAGAGGAGTCTTTCTCCCGCTCTTCCTCTCTCCCTTTTTCTCTTTCCCTCCTGAAATGTGTCACTCTCTTCTTCTATCTTCCCACTCTCTCTTTAACTGCCGCTGCTGCCTTTGCTTCCTCTCTCTTTCATCTGTTCCTTCAACCGCCGCACAAACACACACAAGAGCGCACACAGCAATATGACCTTTGACATCTTGAGAAATCTCAAGTCTCCCTACATGTCCCTTGAAACAATGAAGTCCCTCAGGCACAAACTTATTTTCTTACCCCACTGTGCCTCCGTAGAGCCACCCGCGGGTGCACGGGGAGAAGAAGCACTCCTCCACGGCGTGATGCAGCTCCTCTGCTGAGGCCAGGCGGGCATGTCGGGCGGCACAAGCCCCCTCGGCATCTCTGAAGCCCTGCAGGCCGGAGGAGTTCCTCAGGTCCAACACGAACACTCGACCTGAGGAGAAAAAAGCAGGAGAAAAACCTCTAAAACTTCTTATACAATATGATAAACCTTATATTCAAATATTTATCCCAATATAAAAGGTTTAAAACAGAGTAGAAGAGACTATAGAGCTTTTGTTGTTGTGTTCTCTTGTGTGTATGTGCATGCTGCAAATCTGGATTAAAAAACAAATTGTTATTATTCAATCGGTTTTATTTTCCAATTTTTACAGTTTTCTATTTCATCTTATTTTATCTTGCTTTATTTTTGTATCTTAAATGTAACTATTATTCCCAAGTGTGTTTTATTTTCCATCCTATTGCCCATTCATTTTTCTTCTATACCCTTTTAATGTTCATTCTATGTCTCATTTGCTTTATTCTAAAGCAATAAAGAACTAATGATGAATTATCTATTAATATAATTGTTATTATTATATTGCACAATGTTGGGCTTACATTTATTGGGCATACATTGTTGAGGTTGCTCAAAGTAAAGCAGGTTGTCTGTTTTATTTCATGTGAAAGGATACTTTGAGGCAGCAACACACACGTATGGATTTAGACAATTATATTGAAATATATAGCTTAATTAAGTGTGCAATGACGCAGATTTGCATTGAATACCACTATAGTAAATCATCAATTTATCAAGACATTGCTTTGGTAATTAAGGTTTCAGCATATCATCCCATGACATGATTGCTCCAAATTCATTTCACAACATAATAGAAACTATATTTTGGAGACATAACATGAAAATGTGCTTCATAAAGTTTGATTGATGTATGTGTATTGGCTACAGATGTGGTCACTTTACTGCATCACAGGAGCATCATTATCACCTCATTGTCACATCATTAGCTGGTTTTCAGGATCACAAAGAAATGTGCTTTTATATTTAACATCTTAAATCTAACTATTTGGACATTATTGCTAATGCTGAGAGGGAAAATACTGATAACTTGGGCATGTGCCAATTATAAGTAACGGTTAGTGCTGCTGCTGCTGCACCATAATCTAACTTTTGTGTTGGAAACCACCTGGATATTGCTATAAAAACTCATTATTATGAGTGGGAATACAATTTGAATGTGTAATGAAGTCATGGCTTGTCGTCACACGGATAAAACAATATGTAATTATTTTCTTTTTCTATTAAAAAGGAATAAAATATGAACTTACCGTCTGCATTTACAACAGATGTCCCCACAAGACAAGCCAGGCATCCAAAGAACAAAGGTAGAAGAGTTTTGTTACAACGATCCAACATCTTTTGGCACAATCTCACTTTTTTATGTTGGAAAACGTGTCCAAAAAACTTCCACACGACTTGTGTGTGCACAGTCCTGCAGGTCAGAGAGCCGGTGGAGAGTCCTGCGGTGGACCGAGCGGCAGGTATGCTTGTTGACAGGTCCGGGTGATAACGGAAAGAAAACGGTGAGAGCGTCTCAAGAGCGAGGCGCAGTATATCTCCCCCAAATACTCGCCCTCGCAAGCAGATGGAGCACCGGTGTGAAAACTCGCGTGTCCCTGTCAGTAAATACGTCACGGCTCAAAATCTTGAGGTTGGGCAAAGGGCGGTGAGAGAGAGAGACTGCCGGACTGCTCCTTTACAGAGGAAAAGTGAGGGAAAGAGAGAGAGAGAAAGAGAGAGTACCACCTTGTACAACGTACTGTGTTTGTGATGTGGTCATGTTAATAAAGCTTCTTTGAATTTGAATTTGAGAGTTTTTATTATTATTATTATTATTAGATGTCTTTATTGAATAAGGACCTTGCATAGAAATACATTAATCTCAAAAAGACAAGTGATGACTATAGCCAGAATATAGCTAAAAGCTCATTTCCATCTGCAGTCCCTGGGCAGGTACAAACACAACAATCAACAAACATGTCCTAGTGCATATATCACACTAATAATTATTGTAAAACAGATCAAAATACAGATGTATGGAATATAAATTCTAGTGCATTTGTCAATAATAAAGAAACTAACCTCTCCAATTACAGCAAAAATGAATGTTGGCAAGACTGGTTGCCCAAATTCATTTTTTTTTGCACTAAGGGAGAGACAGAGAGAGAGATCGTTATTAATTGTTGTAAATTGAGTTGTTTTATTGTTATAAATGCAAAGAAGTGTGTGCAGTGTGTTTTGAATTGAACACCTGGTACGAGGTAATATAATAAGGTTCAGGAAAGACAAATTCTGCTGTGCCATAGAGCAAAACACCTTAATAAAAGTGGATTGTCCCCTGTGTGTGTGTGTGTGTGTGTGTGTGTGTGTGTGTGTGTGTGTGTGTGTGTGTGTGTGTGTGTGTGTGTGTGTGTGTGTGTGTGTGTGTGTGTGTGTGTGTGTGTGTGTGTGTGTGTGTGTGTGTGTGTTGTGTGTTGTGTGTGTCCTATATGGTGAGAGAGATAAAGACACATGACCATGGCTGTTAAGAGCTTAATTTGGAGCATGCAGCCATTGTTTAAGTGAATCTGCAGGTGAAGATAACCACCAGCCAAATAGTCGAGTACATACAGGATCCACATTGTAAAACCTAAAGCAATCTATAAATATAACATTATACATCGACAATTAAAGTTATCTCAGTGAGCACATGCGCTTTTTATAAATGAATAAATGCACTTTTCTAGTAATGAACACTTAAAACATAAAAATGTGTCAAGCGTAACAGTGCCAGATTTAGCTTTGAGCTAATTTCCATCCGCAGTCCCTCACATAAAACATTTAAGAAGTTTACATTTTACAAACATAGCAAAAACAAAATACATGATATTCAAAAGGTGCAAAAGAGCAAGAGCAGCATACACAAGTATTTATGACATGGTAATACAATATAGCAGCAACGACATATCAAGTGCAAGAGGAGATACAAGAGCTACCTAAAGTGCAAGAGGAGATTGTATTAAAGTGCATTTAGCGGTGATTGCACGGATGTTTGTTTCTCAACCATTCTTTGAGTTGACCTTTGAAGCTATTGAGAGTGGGACAATCCCGTATCTCAGTTGGGAGGCTATTCCAGAATGAGCTGCCTTTATTGGAGAGGACATTTTGTCCAAAAGTGGTCCGTCTGCGGTGGAATTCACAGTCTCCTCTGGTTTCTGACCTAGTGCAGCGTCCAGTGTCTTTTTGTGGATGAATTCCCCTAAGAGAGGTGGGGCCAGTCCATGTAAACATTTATAAATAAAGCACATACTTTTAAAAGACTTAAAATTGTCAAAGCTCAAGAAATTGTGTTTTTCAAGGATGGTACTGTGGTATATGAATATGGCTTTCTGTCAAACACCTTGTATAACACATCATATACAAGAGGATAGTATTATAGACTTTTCGTCCTCTAAGTGATTTTTTTGGGAATAACTATGATTTTACAAGCCACAAAAATTGAATATTTTAAAGCTGAGAGTTCATTCTTGAACTTGGAAACAGTGATTGATTAATCATTTTCATTATTGATTAATTTTCTGAATTTCTTGATCAATTGTATTAACCTTCGGTCAATTTCTAATCTTATTTTATCGCATGCATTCAAGTCTTATAAAATGTTTTTTCATGTTGGGTACGTGTTGGTGTTTATGGGGGAATCACTTTTGTATTTTAAATAGTTCTTCTATTCTGTGTCCCTGTTAAATCCAAAGAGGTGGAAAAGGAAAAAAGGAGAGAAGATGACGAAATGAAAACATTTGTACAAAAGGACTTCTCCTGCTCGCTGCAATGGTAATTCTGTGCTTTCGAAAAAGAGAAAACTACCAGTGGACAGGAACAGTATGTGTGTGTGTGTGTGTGTGTGTGTGTGTGTGTGTGTGTGTGTGTGTGTGTGTGTGTGTGTGTGTGTGTGTGTGTGTGTGTGTGTGTGTGTGTGTGTGTGTGTGTGTGTGTGTGTGTGTGTAAATTCCTTAAGGAGTGACACCTTTGTTAAGGATTCACACTTACATATCTCTCTCCATTACATTATTTCACCCCCCCCCCCCTTTCCTTTTTTATAATTCTGCGCTTTCACTCTGCCCCAATGGAATAACCCATGCTTCTGCATCGTACTGATGTTCTTTTCATTGCAGTCAGTCTTCTTTATGTTCTCTGTTACCTTTTTTCAACCTCCTTTAATGCACCTCTAAATAGTTTCACCTCCTGTTAAAAGGGTATGGATGAGGGAGTTTAGGGTGGGCTGGGATCCTGACTCATGCAAAGGGGGCTATTTCTGGAGAGGTGGGGTCGTAGAGGAGAAGAGAAGAGAGTGATGGCGAAAAGGAGAGAGACAGTGATTCACACCTGCACCGTCTCAGAAGGGCTGGTGAGAATTATGTTTGCTGCAGGTGTCCTTCACACAGATGTGTAATCTCACAGGACTTCCATTACCCATCAGACAATCTGGAAGTAAACACACACACACACACACACACACACACACACACACACACACACACACACACACAGACACACACACACACACACACACACACACACACACACACACACACACACACACACACACACACACACACACACACACACACACACGCCACAAGATTGCTCTGAGTATGTGTGAGACCGGAGACTTCCCATGTGAGGCATGTCCTGTCAGAATGAGGTGTAGTGCAGGTGTGTGTGACTGACTCAGAGGAAATCATTGGTCATACTGGTGCAGCCCGGGGACAGAGGGGAGGGTATGGTTTTGTCTCCATGGCAACAGCCTCCATGAGAAGTGAGGGTCCGGATGAAACAGAATGAGCTTGGAAAGAAAAAGGCTGAAGCTGAAAAATGTTTGATTTAAAAGAGATGATTGATGAGGAATGTTTGCGTGTGAGTGTGTGAGTGTGTGTGTGTGTGTGTGTAGTGTTCTGGACTTCGAATCAGGGGATAGCAAGTTCGAGTCCCACTGCAGTCAGCATGTCGTTGTGTCCCTGGGCAAGACACTTCACCCCAAATTGCTCCTGTGGGGATTGTCCACAGTACCGAATGCATGTATGTGGCTTTGGATAAAAGCGTCTAACAAATGACATGTAATGTAAAGTAATGTAATACTAGATTGTTTGACCACACTGCTGAGCATAATCTAAAGCACTTTCATCTTTTATGGGCTATGCTCTGTACATAGAGGTTTCTGCAGAGAAAGATTGCTTGCTTATACAGAAATACAGTAAATGAAGAAATACAAATTAGTTGTTGAAAAAAATCATATTTTATTCAAAAATAACATTGTGCAACATGCATCTCAGCACATAGTTACTATGCTTCGGATCTCTCTAAGTGTGATGGCATTGTTTGCCAAAACCCAGTTTGTAACTGCTGCTACCTGTGCCTCATTGAAAATCCTTAGCTTTCCACCTGCACCTCTTTGTTTCTCAGTCCTTCAGATAAACAACAAAGATATAGTGGTTGGTCAGTGTCTGTGTTGCATAAAAGCAAGTTTACCACAGTCAATTGTGCAGGATTTGTGTACAGTTATAGTATGCAACATGCCAACAATTCAATTACAGTAATGAAGTAAATACGTTTCACACAACAGATATAAGCACTGATATATCATGAATTATGCAGAGATAAAAACTGCTAACCTGTTTTCAAGTCTAAGTGTCCGGATTACAGAGGCAACAGTACATCGGCTTAGATTAGGCTGAACCCTCTGTCCAGCCTCTGAACCCTCTGTCCAGCCTCTCTCATCGTCACACCATGGTTGATAACATTTCATTTCATTAGAGAGTACTCTTCTTTGTCCACGTCCTCTCCCTCCAGCTCTACCTCTACCTCTCATTCTTCCTCCTCTCACTCTCACCCACATCTTCCTCCTCCTCTCACTCTCAGCCCAGCTCTTCCTCTTCCTCTTCCTCTTCCTCTTCCTCTTGCTCTTGCTCTTGCTTCCATGTTGGCTTCCATTGTTGCTGTAAGAAAGTACTCACCTGTGGTCTTTTTATAGTGCTAACATCCTGATTGATGAGCCAACAATTATGCAATCAGGTGTTTGGTCAGGTGGAACGTGTTTCTTGATCATTGGTCCATGTGTGAGGCATTTTGAATATCAGTGTTTTAAACCAGCTAACACGTGACTTTATGTCAGATTCCTGTGTCTTAGGTGGAGAAACGTGTGCAGTGGTTTGCAAAGTGCCATGTTGATTTGCAAATTGTGTGAAAAGCTGAAAACGTGTTTAGAGTTTTGGAGATTTGAGCTGATGTTTTGCTCTTTGAGTGTCAGTTAAAATAATTGTGCTTTATGTATAATTTGAGTGTGTTAGCAATCGAGAAAAACTGTAAAACTATTAGAGTTT